CTTGTGAAAATAGCAAGTTGCGTATAGTATTTTACTCAAATTGCAGATAAGGAAACGGAAGCTCATACAAGCTAAGTAGCTTCATCAAGGACTCAAGATACAAGTGAAGTGATTGAGGTGCAGTATTTGATCTAAGGTCTTCTCTAAGCTTTCAGAGCTCCCTCCCACTGACATGTGCAACTGGTCATAGCACGGCGGCACCATTACATACTTTTCTTTGAGAAACAAGGAATTCAGTCATTCTAATACATGCACTGAATGCCCCATTAATTTGATTTATAAGGAATAAAAGGAAACTGTTCTGTTCAGGGAAGAGCAACTGCAGGATAGAAACAGAAAAATGATTCAAGTTACTGAATAATTAACATATTTTTCCCTTGACACATCAGGATAGTCTAAATATGAAAAATTGATCTAGTACAGAAAAATAAGAGTAACCACTGGGAGAAGTGAAATATAGAATGTGTGCATATGCACTCACACACATATCTCTCTCTCTTTCTCTCTCTCTCTACATATATACATATATGTAATGCATGTTAGACACATATAGCATATATGTCGATACATATATATATACACATATATGCCTATGTACAGGCATATCTAGGGATATGTGTATGTAGATTACACATTCTCCTGAAGCTTCCAGCAAAAAGTAGATTTTTTACAAAGAAAGCTCTTCATACTCGCTCATCATTTCCAGGGCTCATAAGCAGCAGTGGAGGAGAAGCATGTGGCATATGTAGGACAGATAGGTTTCAAAGAAAAAAACAGTTATGTGGCGTTTTTCAGATTTTGTAACAAATTGGCAGCAATTCAAAAATCCCTTTTTCTTCCACAAATCCTAGAATTGTGCAGAGGACAGACAGTATAGTGTAGTTTAACGCCTTTGTTTGGAGTCAAAAGACCAAGGTTTAAATTCTGCCTCTGATATATTCTGGGTAACCCTGAGCAAGTCAACCTCTTAGGGATTTGCAACTCTCTGAGCCTATAAGTTGTGGAGAAAATGTTGGTTGACCTTCAATGGTAGAAAAAGTTCTCATGACAATTTTCATCATGTCAATGTGTCAAACACGTGGCCCATAGTCCACGTGAGGCCCCAAAACTCCTGGGTACCACGCAGGATTAAAATATAGTTCCTATCTGATTTTAATATATTGAAATATTAGGATATTAGGAAATATTAGGATAGATGATTGATAGATAGATAGGTAGATAAACATGAGTTTTCTAAGTCAATATATGGCCCACCAACACCCTTATGTACAGTTGAGTGTCCCACCTGTTTCAATTTGAATTTGACACCACTACCCTACACCCAAGGAAGTATAGATCTAGACTCCCTATTCTGCACCCCCCCCATCTCCCTGACATTTACAAACTGTGAAAAAGAAATCACTCAATCTCTAAAGGCTTCAGGCCTATTATTTAATTGATAGAGAGATTATAAGCTGCATCGTGTAGAGTAAGCTACAACACAAAGATGAGTTCTCTATGCTAAAGGAATGACTTTATATAGTCATGTGTTTTAACATGACTGAAGTCAAAGTCAGTTGCCAGAACTTACAGAAATAACTGACCTACACGGTTGACAAGACGTCATTTTTGTTACTGAAGCACCTTTTGTGATCCTTTGCTCATCATTCAAAATGCCTACTGAAAGGAAGTCCTACCTCTGCTTTCACTGCCCCTCCATGAAGTTTCTTGTCTTCTGCTTTTCTGCATTGTGTTCCAGTTCAATTTCAATTAAGTACAATCCAACTTACAATTATGACATGCTTGCTGCATGCTATCAGCAAGGAGCTCAGAGGATCCTAGGAGTTAGAGTTGGAAGAGTCATCAGAGACCTTCTAGTCTAAACTTTTTACTTTACAGATGAGGAAAATGAGGCCAGAGAGGTTGAGATTGGAAAATATAAAAAGAAGTGTTCCTCCCTTAAACAAGCCAAAATGTGTGCCAATAAGGGAGACTAACACAAAATGAGGCACTGCTTTGCTTCTGGCATCCTTTTATACTTCTATGTTGACTCTCCTATCAATTATAGAAGAAACATTTTGATTCATTAGAATTATCTTTTAATCCTCAGGGACAAGAGCAGTGTATTTTACACACAGTAGACTCTTAATGGCAGAGCAGGATGGCCCAGTGGATAGAGTGTGGTGCCTCGAGTAAGAAAGAGTCCTCTTCCTGAGTTCAAATCTAGCCTCAGACACTTTCTAGCTGTATGACCCTGGGCAAGTCACTGTTTTCCTCATCTGTTAAAAGAGCTGAAGAAGGAAATGGCAAAATACTCTACTGTCTTTGCCAAGAAAACCCCAAAATGGTGTCATGAAGAGTCAAACATGACAGAAAGACTGAACAACAGCAGGGTCTTAATATATATAATCTTGTTGAATTGAATTATCTTTCAACAAGCTTTCTTATTTGCCAATGCTAAAATTATTTTAAGAGGTCCCTGATCAAGGCAACCACAGAGTTAGCATCATTCGAAAATTCTCTGAGGATAAATGTTAAGAAATGCATAAAATAGGGAGATATTTTCTGGCCAAAAGTGTTCACCAGTTTCAGGGAAGATGTTCTGCTCATGGCCACATTATCTAGGATTAGAAAGTTGAAAAAAAAAATTGTAACCATAGAGCTAAATGCTGAAAGTCTTGTGTGCTAGTTACAACCCATATGGGTTGAAGAAACAATTGAACTGATGCAAGTTAGCGCTTATTTTTCCAAAGAAATGTTGATCTAATGGTAAAAGGTCATTTTTTCTTTTTGATTCAAGATTTAGCTTGACCAATGAGAGTTTTCAGAACTACCACTACAGGTGAGATATATAAGCACATCAGGCTTTTGAGAGAAGAGACTTTTTTCCCCCATCTTTCAAAACACCATAATTGCTCACTTCACCATTTAAATTAATTCAATTTTAAAAACACTTATAAAATGCCTAGTACTACAAAGCACTGTGCTAGAGAAAGTAGATACATAGACAAAAACAGAAAAGTGTCTCATTTAAAGGGGCTTCCACTCTATCGAATTGGAAACTATGGAACTATTCCATAGCATAAACAAAGTGGCTACAAGGTGAAATATATATTTGTAAAAATGGGGATATATTCACCTTTTCTATTCAACTAATATACAAAACTATACTTCTAAATTTTTAGTAATTATCGATTGAATGATGGTAATTTCCATTTCCAGGGCTGACCTGTTGATTTGTAGCCCTTTTTAGTTTTAATTTCCACTTATAGAAAATATAGATAATTATATTGCACTAGTTAAGAGGCCTAATGAGTTAATGAATGCAGAACATTCTGCCTACATTTTAAATACACATTAAATAAAATTATTTCAGGCCAAACTTATTACTTTGATAGGAATTTTCTTAGGACACAAAGTTAATACTCATTCTTTCCTGATGTAAAAACTTCTTTCCAAAGATATTAATCACCAACAGTGGCAAGCAATTGGCAAAACTAAACAGATGGCAAATGGCAGTGTATCTGTGATGATGTTTTACCTTTTCCCATTCAAATTCTTCATATGGAGATGAATTTCCCTTGTTCAATATCTATTGTCTTATCTACAAATCAGAAAAACTTTGATAAAGGGATCAAATACCTCTTAGGCATTCCTTTAGTCCCTCTCAAGTATTTCAGGATCTTTTCCCCTATGATTTAATTATATATTTTAATAGTGTTCTTTTGTAAATAAGGAAGCTACTTCTTTTCCTAGAAGGGAGAGAAAATATTTTTTTTTCTTTTTTGATCATCAATATAAAAGTAGTTGATAAATTCAATTTCTGATAAGAGTATGTGATTATTTAGGAAATTTGTTTACAACCACCATTCTAGAGGATTCATAATTAAAAAGACTACCCATGTCTTGAAAGAGTGGTGATAGGTGCAGAGTAGAGATTGAGACATAGACAAGCCCACAGTTGGACATGGCCAATGTGGGAGTTTGTTTTAATTCTCTCTCTCTCTCTCTCTCTCTCTCTCTCTCTCTCTCTCTCTCTCTCTCTCTCTCTCTCTCTCTCTCTCTCTCTCTCTCTCTCTCTCTATATATATATATATATATATATATATATATTTGTTACATGAATTTCTCCTTTTTTTTTTAATGGGGGGATAGGAGAGGGGTGTTAAGAGGTGTTGGGAGAGAGAAAAGGCAAATGTTGATTTATTTAGAAATAAAATTTAATTTAAAAATGAGTTTGTTTTTATGCACATATTTGATATGAAAGCCTTTTTTTTTTTCATTTTATGTCCCAACTTCTTCAGCTTAAAAATGCCAGCATCTGTTAATTTGGGAATCAAACTGTCTTTCACGAGAATTTTGAGTAATGAAGATTTTAAAGAACCATAAAGTGCTAAAGATCATTAGGGTATGACTTGCATAAAGACATACAACTATCTCATACTACATAAAGCCTAGACTCAAACCCAGGTCTTTTGATTCTAGATTCAAGGGACTTCCATTACATTCTTGTTGACCCTTTCCCACCCATAATAAATTACTATGTCTGAGAGTAGAACAGATGGTATGTAAGGGAGATTGCTTTGAATTTTCATCTATTCAGTGAAACAAACTGTGGGAGAAGGTCCTGGAGGGCTGAAGGATAATATTTTTTTTAAATTTTTGTTTTTGTCCTGAGTTGTAATTTTATTGGTGTTTGGAACTTTGAGAGATGAAACTCCCTTTACACAATGCAGATTTGCAGCTATTATGCAACTTAACAGTCTGAAAGTCATTTGAGGTACCGAAAGATCAATTTGTAACAAAGGAAGGGCTTGAACCCAGGTCAACCTGACTCCAAGGCCTGTTCTATACTCACTATATCCAATGCTTATACCATGTTGTTTATCTTAAAGAGAAAGTAGGTGATTAAATGTCATTGTGAATTTATTTAAAACATTAATTGAAGATTTCCCCTCTTCGTGACATGTAGATTATCTGTACTTACTCTATTTGTTTTGTTATTTTTTTTTTCCCTACAGCGGCGTCCCAGCAGATGGCCAGCAATGAAGTTTCGAAGAGGCTCTGGACACCCTGCATACGCTGAAGTTGAACCTGTTGGAGAAAAAGAAGGTTTTATTGTATCAGAGCAGTGTTAAAATTTCTAGGACAGAACACCAGTACTGGCTTACAGGTGTAAGACTTTAACTTTGCCTATATCTTTAAAAAAAAATTAAAAACAAAGAAAAAAATAAAGGCGCCCTAAGCTGCTGTAGCCTGAACAGGGGACAATTTCCGGATCAGCCTTGCCCAAGAGAGCTGGGGAAGGGAATTTGCAAAAAAAACACCATATTACGCTGTGGAGTAGTTTTCTTTAATGAAATGACGTACAGTTCACTTAGAACATCTCCAGTGGACTGGTCAGAATTCTGACACGACTGCCATGCTGTTGGCTTAGGTGTTGGGTTGCATAAGAATCAAGGGAAGAAATAAAGCTTTAGTCCACAAGGGTTCTATCCCCTTTGGTTCATGTTTTCTGGGGTCTCAAAGGTAATAGGTTTTGCAAATTGACGTTTTTAAAGGAAAAGACAATAATTAGTATTTTAAGATGGTAGAACAAAACCAATTCATGCGGGCAAAAGAGTGATTACATATAAAACAAGCAATTTCCAATCTTCAAAATTGCGAAGTGGCAGTAGAATTTTGGTTATCATGGTCCATTCTCACCTGTTCAGACAAGTTCATTACTCTAATGTGTGGACCATATTTCAAGAGGAAGATAAAATTGTGCCTCCCACTTTTTAGGAGATACGCATCCTCTCCATCGACAAGTCATAAAGACATTACAAGTTTTAGGTGAACTTTTGTCAAAGAAGCTCCCAAAGGCCTCTTTGGAGAGGCATAGCTTCTGTTTCAGAATGTCAGATCTGGATTTTTTTTATTTTTGGAGAAATGCTGCCTGCATGGTCCACCTATGGAATGAATGAACGTAAAAGATGGTCTTGGCTCATAGAAGGGAAAGGAAACAGGAAGAGTTTCTCAGGCATTTTGTGAAGCAAAACTATTGAGGGATTTCAAACAAATAGGTGTGGGTTTGGGTTTGTTTTTTATTTTTTATTTTTGCCATGTCAGCACTAATGGCCTGTTTCATTGTGATTCTTGCCTAAGAAGCCATTCAATTTCCAGCACACATCCCCAGAGAGTTAAAGAAAAAAAAAAAAGGAAAATGTTTTAGAACCCTGCTGATTCATACAGTAATTTTGTTTAAAGCACATAGTAGTTGCATAAATATAAATATATATATATAAATATATTTTTGTTTATAGCTAACACAAGGCAGGCTCTTGTGACTGTTAAGACTGCATTTTGTCATCTGGACAAAGAAAATGGATTGCATTACTGCATATTTCCATTGAGTTGTAAAATAATCCTTAATATTAGAATATTTTTATGTCCCAAGGGGAAAGTGGTTCATTCAATTGCAGTACCATATGTTTTCCTGCCTACATGAGCCACTTTTCCACTCACATCAACCCTTTCCTTCCCAGATTAGGTTAAGAAGACATTAAAAGCTCCTTAAATGAGGCCATCACTTATGTTGGCCTGGTTGGACTAACCACCATCCAGATTGTTAACATCCCCCCCCGGGAAAAGGAATTTTAAACATTCTTTGAGGAGGAAAAGGGTTATATACACTGAACTTCTAAAGTTGAAATTCAAATAATGTGTGTATGATTCCATTGCCATCTTGACTTATGAACCCTTTACATTCTGTACAAAGTGATTCCTGTCAAGGTACGGTGTTCAACATTTGCAGGTTCAGGTCTCAAGTAGCACGCATATATATATATCTATATATCTATATCTATATATATATCTATATCTATATCTATATATATATATAGATATATATATATAGATATAGATATAGATATATATAGATATAGATATAGATATATATTGTAAGTAGCACCTTACTAACATGTTAGAATGTATAGACAGTGTCTGAATCCAATGACTTCAATCGACTAATAAATCATGATTCTCCTTAATAACTGTCTTCATGAAGTAAACCAGTACTGTTTTTGTTTTTGTATAGCACAGTTTACTTTTTATTTTTTTCTTAAGTTATCCAACATGGCATTTAACCTTTTTTCATGAATTATGTAACAGTCATCTTAAAAAAGTGAGAAGCAAATGAAAATGAAGGTTAAGATGACCATCCTACAGCCATATGCCTTCTCATTTTGTATGAACTGTTCCAGCACATGCCTTGTGGGGTAGATTTAGTTATGTAGCAATCACCAAATGACTTGCCAGTTCTACTGGTGCAGCTGGTACTCTAAGAATATTTAATGATCGTGTAGACAACCTCCTTCTGAGATGAGATGCTCTGCTCTGGCTGCTTTTTACGATAAATTTGTCTTCCAGTGGCAGTAATTGACAAATAGTTCTGTTAAACCTAGATGCAAGTATGATTTCCTGTACATTAATGGAGGAAATAGAAGATATTCCAAAGCCCATCATTGCTCATCAGATGCATTATAAGGATTGACAGTTCTGTGAAAATTTTTCACGACTTTAATCTGAATTACCCAGTTTGCCTACATAGGAAACATTCAAGACAACTTTATGGTAGAAACACATCAGAATTTGGAGGGGGCTATCAGGAAGAAGTCCTCGCAGGTCAGATTGAAGATTTATTAAAATTTAATAGTAAGATAGCAACTTTAACTGACATCTTTCCTCTTTCATGCTTTCTATTTCTATTTCATTGCTTTTTATTCTATACTCCTATTCTGTGCTTAGATTCCCCTGCACAATCAAAAGAAAATGGTATCTTAGAGTATAAAATGGAAATTGGACATTTTCTATAGAGAGTGTGAATATGTTAATAACATGCATTAGTAACTTGATTGTGGCACACATATCTAATAGCCATAGAAATTACTGCAAAGCAAAACAAAAAAACACCAATGGAGAAAATTAAGTTGAAATGTTGCTTGATTATACTGTGCTACTGTAGTGTATAGTGAGAGCTGGTGCTAAGGATCTCCAATATGACTAAGGGCTAATAAGCCTGGCATAAATTTGACTGTTGACATCAAGACTTCTCAAGTGGATGTTAAGCAATTGTTACTGGACTGCTATAAAGCCATAAACCAATTATCTAACCCCTTTGAAACTGCTTCCTCATAAGATGGAGAACATGACATTGCCTTGATTATTACAATTGTCAACATTCACATTAGAAAAGATAAATGTGGGAAACTTAACCAAAGTCAGATATTAAGATGGAAAAATACAGACAGATTAGTACCTTTGTAAATATTTTTCATCCCCTTTTCCATTTCACTAAATGAATTATTACAATTTAAGCCTCATAAATATTTCCTCTGAGCAGGCATCAAATAGGAATGGCTTATATACACAGCACACAATGCCTTCTTCCTGGTGGATATTAATTTAATTGCATAATCTTTACAGGAATGTTGACCTAACATACTGTACTAGCTCTGTAAAATCTTAGATTTTTCTCATTTATTATCTAATCCAAATCCCTCATTTTATAACTGAGGCAGAGAAGGCCCAGAAAATGAAAATGTTCTGCCATCGTTAGCTAGGGCCTAGAACTCAGGCATTCTGATTCCCCAATTCCCCATAATTTTCATTAGATTTTTGCCATCTACCAGTTCTGAAGTAGCTAAGGATAAACCAATGGTTATATTAAGCAGACAGTTCATCTCAAGGCCTACTGCATTTATTTCATTGTATTTTCTATTGTATCATGCAGTAAATCTCTCATCATGTTACTGTATGATATTTTTTTACAAATGAGTTTATATTTTAAATTGGTCTCCTTGACAAGATAATCAGGTATTGGCTCATAGAGTTACTTAGCTTTTTTGATCTCTTCAATCTTTGCACATGACTTAAACTTCTTTAAGAAGTGGTGATAATCTGTCTTAATTTTAGGCCCTTTATCCACTCCCCAACATTCACCATCAGCAGCTTAATGAGATCGTCTCTTTGTTTTTTTATAATTCTTGTTCACTCTGACATGTGTTCCATATGTGTGTGTGTGTGTATACATATATATACACACACACACGGATACATATAGACATACATACATATATATACATACATACATATATACATACATACATACATATATATATATATATACATATATATATATACATATATATATATATACATATATATATATATATATATATATATATATATATATATGTATGTGTCTTGAACAAATGTTGCAATTGGATAGTGAACTAAACCCACAAAATAAAAGAAGTAGGATAATTAGTTGCATTGCGTTTGGGAAATTTTGAGGTGTTTTTAATGACCATAAGCTTTAATTTGAAACAAAAATCCATCCTTTTAACATTGATATTTGTATGGCCATGAATGTACCTATGAATCACGAAATCCTGACTGAAGGATTCCTCTTATGGGTCATCCAGTGAGCAAAGTAGAATTTGTAATGGGTTCTGATAGATTGCAATATATCACTAATGGAAGATTCCATGGGAGTGGGCATAAAAGATAACAACAGAAATATTTATGCTCAGAAAAGGAGGTGAGTCAGTCAAATAAGGTGGAAGAAAAATAATTGGACAATCCAAATCCCTAAATAGTACCTATGACATATGAAAAGGCCTATTAAAAAGACCTTCAGTAATATGGGTTGACCCCTGTGCAAAAATATATGGCAGGACGTGGACAGGACCCACAAAGGATAAAAAGGTCTGAGTCAATTGTGATCAACAGCTTTGAAGGAAATACCCAATGGATTTATCTAACTACCTAGTAAGTGGTAATAGACAGCCTCCTTGCCTAAAGCATGTGAGCATTTAGAGATTTGAGTATTGAAAATAGCACTATCTGGTGATGTAATTTGCTATAAAATATATTTCTTTGTACTATAATGCAAGTTATCCAGAGATGATCCTGAAAATGACTTGATTGGGCTTTCCATTCAGAAAAGTCTCGACTTAAATACTGTGATAAACTTCTTTTGGTAAAGAGACACCCCTATAACAGTAACAGCAATGACTGAGGAGTTGTTCAGACTTGGTTTCGAGGCCTAGCTTTGTCACTGACTAAATGTGTGATCCTAGGCATTACGTAGTCCTCAGAGCCTTAATTTCCTCATCTGTGCAATGGGGGACTATAAAATCTGCCTACCTCAGTAGTTTGTGATGCAGGGGAGAGCACTGGGTCAGGAGTTAAAAAGGGCCATGGCTCAATATCTGCTTCCGATGCCTACTACCTACATAACCTTTGGCAAATTGCGTAACCTTAAGTGGGCTTCACTTTCCTTATTGGTTGATTAGACTACCTGGCCTCTAAGATCCTTTCCAACTCTAGTCTTATGACCCTAGAGTTGTTATGAAGATCAAATGGGATAAGGCATGTGAAAATGTCCTGTGAATGACCAAGTATAGTACACATCTAAGGAGATGACAATATTCTTTATTCTCGTTACAAAGACTATTCTCCTCCA